GGCTGTCTTCTGGTCCAGTTTTGGACCAGTCTGCTCTCCCAGGATGAAGTTGACAAGACCCTGGCAGTTGTGAAGCCTACCACATGCCCCCTGGACCCCTGCCCATCATGCGTAATTAATGTTTGCGGTGATGAGGTACAGACCCTCCTGAGGGAGATTATCAACTTGTCACTTTCAATGGGGACTTTCCCAGGGGGACTGAAGGAGGTGGTGGTTCATCCCCTCCTTAAAAGATCCTCTTTGGACCCTATCGTCCTGAACAACTACTGCTCAGTGTCCAATTTACCGTTCCTGGGTAAGGTAGTGGAGATGGCAACAGCAACACAGCTTGAGGCCTTCTTGGAGGATGCTAAAGTCCTGGATCCCTTCCAGTCCAGCTTTTGTCCTGCCCATGGGATGGAGACAGTGTTGGTTGCCCTGGTGGATGACCTCTGGAGAAAACTGGATCAAAGTGGTTCGGTGCTGCTGATACTTCTTGATCTGTCAGCAGCGTTTGATATGGTTTGACCATGATTTATTAACACACCACCTCGCCGACGTGGGGATACAGGGGCTTGTCTTTCTCCAAGGTTGGGGACAGAGGGTGGCGCTTGGGGATTAGCTCAGTGACACCCGGTGGAATGTGGTGTGCCGCAGGGAGTGATTTTCTCTCCCATGATGTTTAATATCTATATGCGCCCCCTCGTCCAGATTATTTGGAAGTATGGGCTAGGGTGTCATCAGTATGCAGAGGGCACCCAGCTCTATCTACTGATGGATGGCCACCCAGACTCTGCCCCAGAAGAGCAGGGCTTTACAAGCTATGGCTGGATGGCTGCGACAGAGCCAAATGAAGTTAAATCCAGTGAAGACGGAGGTCCTGCACCTGAGTCATAGGAGACTGGGAATCAGGCTCCCGGCCTTCGATGGGGCTCCACTGGTGCCAGCGTCAAGGGTGAAGAGTCTGGGGTGTTCCTGGATGCCTCCCTGTCTATGGAGGCCCAGGTCACCACCACTGCCAGGTCTGCCTTTAGCCATCTGAGGCAGATCAGGCAATTGGTACCATATCTTACCCCCAAGACACTGGCTACAGTGACCCATGCAATGGTCACTTCCAGGCTGGATTATTTTAACTCTCTCTACATGGGGCTGCCCTTGACTTTGCTCTGGAAGTTACAGCTAGTGCAGAACACGGCAGCACAGGTGTTGATGGCGATGCCTGTGCGGGCTCACATCCACCCAGTACTGCATGAACTGCACAGGCTGCCTATTGAATTCCAGATCCATTTCAAGGTGCTGGTATTTACCTTTAAAGCCGTATATGGCCAGGGGTCAGCATACCTTCAGGATCACCTCTCCCATGTAGAACACTGAGATCTACAAATCAACACCTTTTAGTAGTCCCCGGCCACAGGGACTTTTGATTGAGGCACAGGGCCAGCCCGAGATGTTCCTGCGCCTTAGGCGAGCACAGATGCCAACCTCCTGGTTGGGCCTGGAGACCTCCCAGCTGGTGTATGGCACCTCGGGGTGGAGCTCGGCTTTGCCACCCACTCCCTGGGCCTTGCCAGCGAAGCGCCCGCCGCGCCTCCTCCTCCTCTGCTGGGGCAGCACTACAGAGCCTGAGCTGATGAGGCGCCCGGCGCGGAGGGAGGGAGGGCGGCGGAGGGGACACCAGCGGCCAGCCCCATCCCAGTCCTGTCTTCTTACCTGCAGTGCCCAGCAGCAGCACCACCATCGGGGCGAGCAGCAGCAGCAGCAAGAGGCAGCCGCCCATCCTGCACATCCCGCCACCGCCGCTCCGGCCACACCCAGCCCCGTTGCCGCCGCCACGCACAGCAAGGAGCGCCTGCCCACCCCCCCTCCGCCCGGCCAGCGCAATCAGGGGAAAGGCTGCTGCTGCTTGGGTGGCCTCTCCGACGTGGGAGGGAGGGAAGGGAGGCAGGCGGGTGTGGGTGGCAGAGCGGAGGCCTCAGAGGGTGGACCTTGGCACTTCCTGGCTGGCTCGAGGGGGCGCTGCAGCGCCTGGCTCCATGGAGAGGGTGCTCCTCCGGCTCCTAGTGCCAGGAGCGCGCCGGGCTCCTGCGGCCCACCCCGCCTTTCCTCCCGTGCCCTAAGGGCCGGCTTGCGCTCTAGGTGAATGCCTAGTTTGCCTAGCGGGTGAGCTGGACCTGTTGAGGCAGCAGACGTCAAATATCATCTGGCCCCTCCTGTTACCATCAACCATGGTCTTCTATTTTCAAGGCTCAGAATGATAACCCACCTGGCTTAACTGGCTTAACTGAGATTGGGTGTTTATCATCCAGAATCCCTTATGGAATCTCTGCTTTAAATTGACTAACACCAGGACATCATAGTTCTAGTCGTGAGGTAGTCTGATCGCCAACATTTAAGGATTATATTTTATAGTTTTAATCTATGATTTTATTGTTCTGTAATTAATATTTGTAACCTGCCCTGAGCCTGTTCGTGGGAAGGGCAGGATAGAAACTGAATTAAATAAATAAATAAATAAAATAATACTCAAGGCCTATAGGTTACAGGAGTAAAGAAAGAAAAATGTAGAGAAGAAATAATTACGAAAATTACGGAAATCAAGGAAATGGATAAAGTAAACATGATATTGTCAGGGAAAGACGAGAATGTGTTTCGAAAAAGATGGCAAAAAATGGACAGATGGATTGAACAAAGTGTGTAAATGTAAACTCCAAAAGTATTCTGTATATATAATACATATGTTTTTCTTTTTTGTTATGGGAAAATGATAAACTTTTTTTTTTAAAGAAAAATGTCTTCAGTTGACGTAAATATCTTAATAGGTATAAATGAAATAATTGAACTGTAATTACAAAATGAGAATGTCAAGCAATCCAAGATATATGTTTGTTACGTTACTGTACGTAAGTGCATAAGGTTCAGGACTCAGTCCAAAGAGTCAACAATTGAAAAGTGGGATATATTCTTTAAATTAATAAATTTGAGCTGTATCATGTACAATAATTCTACATTGCGTAGAATTTGCATTTGATTTCCCTGCCAGTGAATTCACATGGACAGAATTTACACATGACACAAACAGCATGAAAGAGGTTTGAAGGTGCTTTTTAGCATAACATGCAAAAACACTCCATGGACATTTTGATATGGAAAATTTAAACCACACAAGTGTAAGACCTTAATTGGCCAGGACATAAATTCACTTTTCTTTTGCAATCTATCAAATTCCACTTAACAACCTTTCTATGATAAAAACAAGCAGGCAAAATCTCAAATCAGTAATTTTTAAGAGATTTCAAAACATATACATCTCAAGTGGAGAGAGGTTTCTGTTCTCCGGGATATGGAGAGTTTGCAGACACCATTATTTTCTCAATTTCTGAACTGTTTTAATATGACTTTTACTGTATAAATATGCTCATGATCTGTGATTCTTTGGGTATGTCTAAGCCTCTTCTGGCCATAAAATTTCAGAGAATGTTCTCAGAATATTTAGAAGCTGCTTTTGAAAGATTCAATTATTGTATTTGCAGAATTAGGGCTGGAAAAGAACATGTATGTTCTCTTTTGAAATATTTATGAGGATTGTACAGTGCAATCCTAAACATAGTTTAGATCACCCCCCTAAGGCCATTGACTTCAATGAGTTTCTAAATCTTTGCACTGCTGCTCAGTTTGCCTGATTCACAGTCTAATCTTTATGCAGTTACTTCAATCTAAAAACATTGAAATCAGTTCCTGCGTATCAATGGGTATCAGTGGAGCAATTTTCCATTGGATCTCACAGCACAGGATCTCAAAGTAAATTTCTTTCAGCACAATCCTAACATCACTTTCCTGGGGCTTGAGAAGGATTTCAGCTAGATCTGTTTAGGATGGCACAGTGCAATCCTAAACAGGTGTACTCGGAAATATACTAGTGTGTTCTTAGGACTGCACTGCTTGTTAGTCAGCTTACCTAATTTACTGTTCCACTTGCGTACATTCAGGTCACCAAAGAGCTTGCAGATTTGCAGTGGCTACTCAGCAATCGAGGAAGGAATCTATGGAAGCAAATTTAATGAATTATAAAGATGTGTAGTCATTTAAACATCTGGTCCCTTACCTACTGTGCTAGCCAACTTTCCTTAGGTTATCAGGAATTATGGTTGACTGTGATGTGTTTGTACTCTTTATCTTTAAAATCCGATTGCACATACATTGTGCTCATTACCCATTTTCTAACTGCTGTAATATTTGCCCTGCCATTTTGCAATGGCCATGTATTAATGATAATTTCACTGTACATGAATGGAGCGTGGAAAGAGGTCTGGTCATGGTCACCTCTAGCTGCACAGGTCTTTGCAACACAAAAGCTTGCAAAAGCGAGCTCACCAGAGAACGAGTATCTACCAGGAGAAATAAACAGAAATCTTGTGGCACCTTAAAACCCAACATTTAAAAACATTTTTAACCTAAGCATAAGTGATTCCTCTTTCGATTATCTGATGGGCCAGAGAACTAAAACTAACTCTTGCCTCCCAGCCTTAAATGTTACAGCCGAAAATGCTCCAAAGAGCCTCTGTGTGTCAAGCGGCCCGCCTGTCTCCACGTTCTTCCCACGCAGTCCATTCACACGTGCACAATAACACGAGTACCGTTTTCAATCTTTTCGGGCATTTAAAACTACAAACGGATCTGGTCGAAGCGCGACAGCGGTCACGGTTTTAAGAGGCCCGTTTACTTCCGTACACTTGTGTTGATGCCTCACTGCAGACATGGGCCGAGAGCTGCGTGTCTGGCTTTTTATAACTTAACAGTTTTCAGAACAGACGACATTCGGGTCTGTCGCGATCCTACTCGCTCTCCCCGCCCGAGGAATATAATAAGCTGGCCAAGCTGCGAGTACAGCTTTTCCAGCGCGCGTCTGAGTTGTCTCCACAGAGCAGCAAATGTGCGCGGCGAGGCGCTCAGAAGAACCCGAGGTGTCGCCGCCGTCGCCTACTCAGCCAGCTCGGTCCACCGGTGGCAGCCGGAAAGTCGAATCCAAGAGGTGGGAGGGCCCAAAATGGCGCTGCTCCCTTCAGCCTCCTTGCAGTGAGTGGCCAAGATCCTGAGACGCCCCCTTCGCACACCAGGCGGGCGGAGGGAGGAAAGAAGCTCCCTCTGCGTGCGGCCGTCGCCTCCCGTCCGCACCACCATGAGCCTGGGTCCTCCCGCCCCGCTCCTCCTCCTCCTCCTCCTCAGCCACCTCCCCCTTGGGGCCCTTCGCCGCCACAGCGTCCTCGGTGTGGCGTGGGGCTCCCAGCCGGCCTCGGGGTGGCGGCCTGCGGGCCGGGCTCGCTGAGCCGCCAAAGGGCGCGCTGTGAAGCAGGCAGGCAGGAGCCTCTTTTCCCTCCCCCTTGCCTTCCTCGCTTCCCCCCCCCCCTCAAGCAGGTGGCACCGAGAGATCCCAGGCGGCGTTTGGCTCGCCCGCCCGCCAGCCATTACTCGGCCGGCTCGCCCGTCACCTCTCCGAGCCGCGCCGGCTTCGACTCTTTCAGCCCCGGGGACCTCAAGGGGCTTCCGTCCTCGACGAGAGACCCCCTCTTTCGACAAAGTTTGGGGCTGAGACGGGCGGAGAAAAAGTCGACGGCCAAACTTGTCCCAGCCCGCCGTCTCCTCCTCGCTTTCTGGCGCTTGAGGGGCTGGAGCCTGGCCGCCCTCGGTGAGTCGGGGCTGATCCAAGAGAGGGACCTTGATCTGCCTCCCTGGTTGTCGTCGCCAGCCAGCCCTGCTGGGCTCATCCCAGCCCTCTCTTTCTTCCTCCTTCCTCTAGCACTATGGAGTTTACTGAAAGGAAGAGGAGCAGGAAATCCCAAAGCTTTAAACTGATCAATCAAGGTAAGGAGGCAGAAAAGAGGAAGGTGTGATATTTATCCTTCTTTTCGTGTGTGTGTGTGTGTATATATATATATGTCATTGGATTTGGCTTGTTTCAAGAGAAAAAGGAACAAGATGTTAGGCGAATGTGTCCGTGTTTAATTTCTCCCTTTAAATATAATGGTATTAACGTTCTGAAGCTGTGTGTTTGGGGTCCAGTCTTAATAAGGGGGCACTTACAATCGGATTTATCATATGATTGGGAAAGGGAGATCTTATTTCATTGTCAATGTAATTTGCTTGTGAAAGTGCAATCGGGAAATTTCAGCAAAACATTAGTACTTGAGGAGGGATGAGCTGGCTTTTTTTTTTAAGTAATTGTGATTCCTATAGCGGCACTGTTTTCGTTCTCACCCCCCCCCCCCATGGATTGATACACTTATTTAAATTAAAGGCTTCATAGAGATTGCCTTAAGCAAGCATACATATCAAACACAGCTAATTAATTGTACTCAAACAAGAGGAAATTGTGAGCTTGTAACTTGTTCTTTCAGTGTGAGTGAGCTTCTTAGAAGAGGAATGTAGATTTTTAAGCAGAATATGCACATTTAAACATTTTAAAAGGCATCCTCCCTGCTTTCCTCTGGAGTATATATAGTTTCTTGGTGTTGTATAACAGGTGTACTAGTTGGGTGAATCTTACGCTGTTTTAATTTGGCATTAAAACATGGCTGGGCTTAGCATTGCTCACAAGATCTCCATGAATTAGGTATGTGGCTTTCATGGTAACAGCAAGACATATAATTTTGAATATAATTGCATACTTCATGTCTTAGTTTGGTGGTTTGCCATCAGATATATTTGGGCATTCTATTCAACTTGTCCAGATAAATTTACATGAGACTTCTCAGTTCAAAAGGATAGTATCTTCCTATTGGTAAACAATATAAAATTTAAAAAGTAGTTTCCTACTTTATAAAGTTAATGGCAAACACAGTCTTGAAGCTTATTTTTTGTTGGAACAAGTGCCACCTTAAGGCCCTATTTATAATGTGAACATGGTGTTGTTGGACAGCACAAGCAAGGACCTACATTTGAAGCTGACAAACAGAATAAGACCTCAGCAATAAGAAGTAAACGTAGGCTTTGTTTGGTGCTGAATGAAAATACTTTACATCAGCATGATATTTATCTTGCCTCTACTTTCTCTGCAAACCATTTGTGGTAGCTTTTTCAACTAATCTTAGTACTTCTTTGGTTTTTCAAATTGGAGCTGATCACACAAAAAGCATTTTTTTAAAATTCCTAATTTGAAAAGTATGCTTTTAATCTGACACTTTTGTGATGGTGTTTGCTTTTATTGTGAGAATTCATTTCAACTAGCACTGTGTTCTTTAAAAGGTGTTTCCCTAGTGATAAGCCTGTTCCTTTTGCTTCAGGCATAACAGCAGCATCACAGACCAGTCGTTTGCTGTCATGGGCACTGAGATAGATTTCACTGGCTATCATATCTCTGGCAAAGATGAACATGCAACTTGCAACATGATGCAAGGCAGTGCCCTCTTTGCAGTTACTTATAAATTACCCAGAGTTTACTATTCACAATTGCAGCTTTCATCTTAGCCCTGTGCATGTTACTTAAGCCACAGTTCTTGCTTGCTGTAGGACTGATTTGTTGTTTTGACATGGGAGTTAGATAGCAAACCAACACCTGTTGGCTATTTTGGGTGTTGTGCCCAATCTTGTAAATTGCCACACCAAAAATAACAATGCCCTGTGGCTTCACCATGCCACCACTGTGTCAGAATGGTTGCATGTGGGCCATGAAATGTGTGGTGCCAGCCTATTGTTTGTATTGTCTGTCAGTCTCATCCCTCTAAATATTGTCTGTTGCATTATGTGCAACATTGCATCTGGTGTCCTGGATCCTCCAATGATTTTTATCACAATTCAGACCCTCCTTAAAGAATGGAGGAAGCTGAAGTCTGTTAAAATTCTGAATGTTGAAAGGGTTGACCATTACCATCCAAAACCTGTCAAAAGGGGAAAGGGTTTTCAGAAAATAAGCTCAGGTTTATACTTAGTCTAGAGAGCAGGAGTTCCTCAGCTGGGGGAAGTGGAACAGCCAAAATTCTTTCTCTGATGCTCTGTTATTCTGGATGCCTGTTAACAGTTGTCTGGAAAGTAAGTGACAGATCATGGTGGGACTGGAATGTAGGGGATGAAATGTTGTGTTAACACAAGCCCTTTTAGGAAACGGGTTGTATATAGAAAGATCACATTCTACTTTTATGTTGCAGCTGATATAAAATGCCGAAAATTAGGAGCAGAAAGACATCACTGCAGATTTGCAAACATGTTAAGTAGGTTGGCATGTCAAGCGGTTCTCTAGCGTTGCATTGCATTGCTTAGATGGGAATCCAGCAAAATTGATAGAACATTGGTCTGCCAGTGTGGTGTAGTGTTGGAACAGGATCAGAGAGATCTAGGTTCAAATCCCTACTCTGCCATGGAGACTTCCTGGATAACCCTTGAGCCAGTCACATAGCCTAACCTACCCCACAGGGTTGTTGTGAGGATAAAATGTAGGAGAGGAGAACGATGTAGGCTGCTTTGAGGTGTTGTTAGGGCGAAAAGCAGGATGTAAATGAAATAAATATATGGATTCGCGCTCATCGTTCAGTCCATGCTTGTAGTGCAAACTATTTGTTTTAGTGGGAATAACACATCTGCTGACACAAATGTAGGCTGTGCAAGCTGCTGCCTGGTACATTGTGCTTTTGATAATCTAGGATCATGTAGTGTGGTGTCTGCTGCATGACATTCATCTCAGTTCCAGACACTCCTCGGAATCATGAGCCAATAATAATGATACAAAAATTTAGCATGTGAGCCTTTAGTTCCTTTCAGAGTCCACCATGCAGAAATCTCTTTATTTCTCTTACGACACAACAAACTTTTGGAGTGCATTCTGTACTCATGTTTTCATACTTTAATACAGCCAGGATTTTTTTAAAAGGAGGAAAGAAACCCAAGCCTCTTAGCCAAGAAAAACTGCATTGCACTTGGCTTGTGGGCTTTATGCTGTTGTTCCCTTTAGATCACTTACTGCAATATTAAGACTTCATTGCACAATTGCATTTAGACTTTGGCAATCACTGCTTACTCAAGGAAATGTGTTAATATAGTGCAGCCTACAGCACTCGGTATTCCCAGGCGGTCTCCCATCCAAGTACTAACCAGGCCAGACCCTACGTAGCTTCCAAGATCAGACAAGATGGGGCATGTTCAGGGTGATATGGCCGGAGGCATACCTATGTGCAGCAGACTCTGGAATCTTTTATTTTCCCCCTCCTTCCTCCACTCAAGTGTCTGAATGGACTGCCTGGTCTTACCTAGCTCAACATTTTGCATGTGACAAGTACCAGTTCCTATCCTGCTGTGTGCTTACTTTAGTCATCTGTATTAACAGCAGCTTCCAACATGCCATTACACTTTAGTGTGACTAAGAAATAGAAAGAGACGGAGGTTTTGCAGATGGATGGGGAATTGGAGGTGGGCAGAGGTTTGATTTTCAGAGGTTGGAATCACCAAGATCAGAACCTTCTAACACAGCCCATCCCCATTCCAGAGTGTGGTTATTTACTTTCTCTTATAAAAGTGACTGGTTATCACACAAAACCAGGGAAAGTAGACTTTGGTGAACTAGTGCAATGAGAGCAAATCCTGCCTAGTGCTTCTGATGCTGGGTGACCCAGCCCTCTGTGAATGTAGGGTGCAAAGTGTATCTTTCTTTTAAGGGGTCCTTGTAATATATATTAGCCACTTCCAGGAACACAATGACTGATAGTAAATCAGGATAAGGTGATAGCATTGTGTTGGCAGAGATCAGAAGGAACAGACAGTGTCAGAGACATTGGAGATAAAAATGTGTTTAATTTGCCTTTGGGGCACATATTTTTTTTTCTAAGTTTGCCCTCCTGCATGTGTTTACCCAAGAGTTTCTGTGGAACACAGTGGGTTGTACTTCCTAATAGACATGCATAGGATTGTGCTGTAAAATTGGTTTAGGCTGCTATTCTTTGGAGGCCTAATTGCACATGGTTACCTGTGAAGTAAATGGCACACGCTTCCAAGTAAACATGGGCAGATTAGCATTACACTTTCTGATTCCTGCAACCAAGTAAGACCTAGTGTTTCTATAGTACTTCCCTAAATGCTCAAAGCCTCAGTGATACTTACAACAATCCTCCAAGGCAGGCCAGCATACTTACCTTTTATATTAAGAGGCTGAGAAATAACTGCTTGCCTAAGGAACCCCCAATCTTCCAAACTCATGGTGCTACATGAGCTTTCGGACTTGGCCCATGGCCCCATTTTCCATATGGTGTCATTCTTTTTCACCCAGCTGTCTTTTTTGGTAGTTCACAGTACTCTTCCCCCAATGTAGTTTGTGGTGCAATCAGTTTTTGTACTTGTCTGAGAGGGGTTTTTTTCCCTTCTGATTTTCATGTCATCAAATTGTGTACCCCAGGTCAATTATTAGAACACAGGTACTGTTATTTTGCCCCCCTCCTCTGGATATATTTTTTACATTATACCAGTTGTTCTTCCATATCCTGATGGGCATGGCATTAGTTTTTTCAGGACCTATGGCCTTATCCTTGCAGAATGAAATTTATATTGTGGTCTGTACACTTCCAAGTAACTTGTTCAAAAATGTAATGTATTGTGCTAGACTATAATGCCTCTTCCCTTGCATTAGTGAGAAGTGCCTCATTGGAGGCAAACTTAGCCCCTGTTAACTTCTGTTGATTTAAAAGACGGGGGAGGGAGGGCTTTTGTTTGATTTCTGTGACACTTTCATAAAGAAGAGATTGGTTCTCAGTGGGTTAATAGTAATATGAGGTGCCTTTGAAAACACCTCTGGTTTCTAGTACCGAGCAACTTGCCCAGACAGAATTGTCAAAATGTCCCTTATTTTAAAAGGCAATCATTCCTTATTTCAAAATATTACTGCTTAAATGGAAAGTTGTTATGTCAAGCTCCAGAACTCATGAATAGCTCTTAATTCTTAATCTGGTAGATGCAGGCCTGAAGTCAGTAGGAGGGTTAGGAACCAAATCCAGTCTCCCTCTAATGCTTACCATAATTGCCCTTTCCTTCCCAGTACCTGCATATAAGCAAAGTTCTTGTTACTTACTGAATATGTATAGTTGTGATGAAAGTGGAAGGCTCAGCATTCATGGTCTAAGTTATACTAGAAATCGTTATTAATTTCCATTGATAGTGCTTGATCTGTTCCCAGTAGAATTCATTGGCAACCTTCCCAGATAAAAGGCCAAGGAGCTTCCTTCTATTTGTATTGTGAGGGAAAGGTTCCGTTGGTTTATAAGGATGGTAAATTTCTAATTTCTGTTTTCTAACCCAAAAATTACTTGCACTCTGTAAGTCAAGAACCCAGAGGGTTGGCATCTGGTATGTTAATTTGCTGTGAAAATGAACAGCACAACTGAGGCCCGACATATCTGCTAGCTAAAATATGGGAAATATTTTGATTAAGTGTCTTCGGCATAAGCAGAGGGCTTTATTTGTTTTGGGGAAGTGCTGACTTTGAACACATTGTCTCTGATTGCTCTGATGTACAGGAAATAAAATGGCAGATGTATTGGTACATTGAGATAAAATTCTCACAACATATTCAGAGCCTTTATTCCCCCCCATTTTCTTGATTTCTAAATCATTATTATTTTAATTCCAGATTACCCTCATGAGGTGTACAAGATACCAGACTACAGTAATGATGTTAACGGGGAGACCAATGAGGTGCAACCATTTCATTTAGGTATGTTCTTGTATTCATCAGTGTGTGAGTGCCACATTGTAGGCTTTTGTGGTGGAAGAGGGAGGGAGGGAGGGAAAATTGCCCCATGCATGAAGGAAACCCTTGCCAAAGGTCTTTCTGTTTTGCAGATTGCCAGTGTACATTTTTAACATTTGCAAAAAATGTTGTAATTTGAGACATAAATGTTTATTAGTGTCTACATACAGTGCTAATTATCACTCACCCAGAGAACCAGATGCTGACACTGCAGTTCTCCAACTCTGTGCTCAGCCCATTTACATTGCATATTTGCTGGCATGCTTCACTGGCAATAGTTTGTGTAATTGGGGTATTACATCTTTGACATCTGGATAACAGAAATTCAATTTCCTGGAAGCTGCTATTTGTTCGGTTTTGCTTTGGCCATGGGTGGGGATTAATGTGTTGTCTTAATGTAATGTCCCTTCACCTCTGGAGGCAAGCCACTTATCTTAACAAGGAAAAAACCTAAACTAAATCAGCTGTCCACAAGGTATAAGAAAATATTAGTATGTAACCAATTAAAGCTGAATAGATTGCTTCTTACTACCCCTACTGTGATTCTGTCCATATTCCAGTGCTCATACCTGTTCCATCCAGAAGAGTGCTGAGCCAAGTCATGCTCTGCTTCTAAAATGCACCCATTGCAAAATGCCAAAAATTATAACAAGTTTATTATGAATTACTTAGGTTTTCCCGCAGAGAAAGGCAAAACACTGCAGAGTTCAGTGGGAGTTAAAAGATGCCTTGCCTCTGTATCCCAGTCCTCAGTGACATTAATTTATTTGTATTATTATTTATTTAAAACATTTATATGCTACCTTACCACCCAAACTGTGTCCCTGAGGTGGTGAGTTCTTTAATTTTATTCCAGTGCTACTGCTTGGATTTGCAAGCAGATTCGGCATCACTGGGCTTTCAAACAGGATTAGTTGCTATTCTTAATTTATGCACACATACACCATGATGCAATGTTCTGGCCTAGCCACTACATTGCCAGTACAACCTAGGAACCTATTCTTGTGAGTAAGCACCATTGAATAAGCCTGGGTAGACCTGCTGAGGATGGCACTGTGCATCTCCTGCTGAGACTGGAAAAACGGCTGAATTAAGGACAGTATGACTGACAGTAGAAGTAAAAGTGACAACAGTGGACATGCTAGGATACGATCTGTATCACTGTGGTGGTAGTCTGCAAAATCAACGAAGGGCATCATGCATGCAGCTGGCCTGTTACTTGTTTAGATTTATAGCCTATTTTTCAATTCAAAGCGGCTGACAATACTTTGAAAATACAGTATTAACTTTATTCATTTCCATGGCCCCCATCCCCATATATTAGCCCCTTGCTACTCAACATCAGGTTTGACTTGTTGATGCCTCCAGAATGGCTATTTCTGGGTTGTGTGTGTGCTAGGTCCTTTTTCCCAGGATGAGTTTTTTCATGGCTTTGGTATTAGAGTATGCAGCATTTGACCACATGGCTTATTGGCTGATCTAAAAGTGGTTCTTGCCAGGTAGTATGGAACTAGAAAGATATGTGCCATCACAGAGGCTTACTAAAATTAAAAAAACACACGCACAACCGAAAGCAGTAACTGAAGTGTACTGTGGAGTTTTGAAGAGTCCTTATGCTTGCACTGTTTTTCTCTGTGTTTTGTGAAACAGTGTCTCCAAGTGTTTGGAAACACATTGGTCTGCTGTAAACAATTTGACATTGGTTTTTAATTTGAAATTCAGACTCTGCTTTTGAAAGGTTAATGCAGAAAACTAATTATGCCATCCTGGTAACCAAATATGTTGTGAGACATTTATCTGTGCAATTAACAGTGAAGAAGTTTATAGTTTCATAAACCTGAATGCTATGCTGTGTGCATTCTTCAGCATGCATTTATTTGGAAGAGGTGCTGGAAAAAGAGATGTTTATGGCTGGTATAAAGTGAGTCTGACACATGCTCTAACTCAGGTGTCTGTATATTCTACAACATTTTTGTTTTGATGAATTAGACTTTGGTAGACCGATAACATTGTTTTGTTGTAGTAAAATGCATAAAGTAGGCTTGCAGTGGGAAAGGAGTGCAGATAAGTAATGCAAACCCTTTTGGTTCTAAATCATACTTTTGCCCATGGCCAATTAGGAAATGTTAGCAGCAGTCTAAATTATTACTAAATTCTAATGATTTTAATCAATTTTTATTAGTAGCAATTATTGCAGTAGGCTGAGACTGGGGATAATATGCTGCCCTCTTAAACTCTGGGGTCAAATATTGAGTTTCATTGTGAGAATGTATGCATTGGTCCCAATGTAGAGGAAGTAAACCATCTGTTTATTATTTGTGAAAGAAAGAAAAGCCCACCACCCTAAAGTAAGCCAGGCATTGAACAGTAACCAGTTGTACACTATCCAAAGCAGTAAACTAAGTTACTGCATCCATATTGTTTTAGTGGGACTTAAGCATTGCTACTGTCTTCCAGATCAAGGCTTGCTTAGAAAACAAATATTTAAATATTGCATATTATCATGACTTTTTTTGTTGGTGCAAGATGAGGCTAAAAGAGCTGCAGGGGTAGAGAACTGAGTTTTCAACCCTCTTCTATATATCACAAAGCAAGATGTGTTGTTTGTGATCTGATTGGAACTTTCAGCCATGTTGGCTGTTAAATTTATTCAGCATGACTTGTTAGGAAAACTTCCTTGGCAAGCCCAGTGGAAGTGGGTGGGAGTGGCAGAAGAGCACATCACCTTACGAGCCAGTCTTCAAATAATCACAGCCCTTTTGAAACTTCATTGCTGGGTGGCAAAGGGATGATTTTCATAATTAATGTGTGTGGAAATTATCGGGTTAAATGTAAAAACAAATATCATCTGCATTGGAAGCACAGACGCTTTACACAGTATCCTCGCTTCTCCACGTTTCCCGATTCAGGGGAAAATGCTGCTTCAAAGAAATTACAAAGGTGATCTGACTGAATGGTAAAAAGAGAAAGACATTTTTCTTACAAAAATAGAAGCACATCTTACATGACATATCTATGTAGGTACATTTAACTTATTGTGAACAGATTAACTTCAGAAAGGTTAACTTGCTCCAAGCCCACATAAGAGAGAAGAAGAGGAGTCATATATAAGATGAAACATAAGGCAAGCAACAGCTAAAGAGGCTCAACATCTAACTGATGAGAGGGTGGGGCCAGTGCCAAGTGTACCTGAGTGAGAGAATTTTCTTAACCCTTTCCGTCTCAGATCCTCTTGCATGCATAGTTACAATATCCAACACTCCTTCTTAACATCGCATGCAAGAGTTCTCAAGTTTCAGTTTGTCTCATAGTTTTTCAAATCTGTCTCTTGACAGAGGCTTGGTCAGGATGTCGGCCACCATCTGTTCTGCTGAACAGCACTCCGTCTCTATATTGTGCCCTTATCAGTTAGGTCATGCACTAAGTGAAACTTCACACCAATGCTTAGTGTGTGCGCAACCATTTTTTTCGGATTGAAAAATCTTAATGTAGCTCTGGCTGTCTTCTTTAAGTTAAATTGGCTTTTGCTCATCAACTCCAAAGTCATTTAGTAATAGGTCTAGCCACAACAGTTCTCTGCTTGCTTCAACAGATGTTATATAGTTGGACTCTGTGGAAGACAAACTTCCTTTAGTTTGTTTTCTGCTGGCCGAGGAGATTGGTCCACCTCCATACAGGAACAAGTACCTACTTGTGGATTTATAGTCTAAACACTTTCTCCTGCCCAATCTGCATCGGTGTAACCAACTAATTTTGGATTACTGGTGGATGACAATTTAAGTTTCAGATCTAAAGTTCCTTTTAGACGTCTAGCTATCCTTTTTACTGCAACCTACTCTTTCTTGCTCGGTGCACTTGTCTTTCTACTAAGGATCCTAAGACTGGTTGCAATATCAAGTCTGCTAGTGGTGCTTAGGTATAGAAGTTTCCCTGTGGCATTTCTCTACTGATTGTCTTTAGGTAAAGGCTCACTTATTGTCTTTAGGTAAAGGCTCACTTATTTCAGTATTTTTAAGAAAGTCAGTTTCCATAGGTGTTGCAATTATTTTCTGTCTCTGGTTTAGGAAAAATGAACTATCTTCCTCCCTTTCAATTTGTATGCCCAGATAGTAAGAAACATCTCCTAGCACTTTCTACTTCTCTGTTTAGGTACTCTACCACACTGTTATAGTCCATTTGCCTGTCATAACCCAGAATCCAGTCAACATATGCGAGAATAAAAGTACAGTGTCCATCTCTGTGTTTAGCATACAGACATGAATGCTCTTCTCCTTGCCTGAAGCCTTTTCGTGCTCCTTGTTTAGTCCATACAGCCCTGTCTGCAGTTTGCAAAATAAATTTGGTTGTTTGGGGTCTATAAAACTTTCTGGCTGTTCCATGTACAAATCTTCCTGGATCTCCCCATGCTGTCTTTACATCTAGATCAGGGGTGTCAAACTCATTTGTTATGAGGGTTGGATCTGACATAAATGAGACCTTGTTAGGCCGAGCCATGTGTGTCATAAAATGTAATGCCAGGTAGCGGAGATATAAACTTTATAAAGGACACAAACACAAAGGTGTGTTTTTTTTTACTTAAAATAAAAACATGCTTAAAACATTGGCACTCTTGCAATATTTTGTTTATTTAACAGTGTCTGATAACTGACACCTCTTGCTCTGAATCATTGCATCAAATGTCTGTGCTGTTGCAATCTTGAGTATACTGTTCAGGTGTGTATCTGTAAGTTGCAAACCTAAGATGATGAAATAGCAGCAGAACTGAAGAAGCAGAAGACAGCCAGTTCCACTGCAGGCCTGATAGAAGCCCTCCGGGGACCTCATCCGGCCCCCGGGCTGCATGTTTGACACCCTGATCTAGATGTTTGACTCGCATTTTCATGGACACTGCTGGGCTCAGAAGTAATCTGATTGTACTATGTTTAACCACCGGTGCAAAAGTTTAGTTGTTTTTGTTGTTGTAA